ACCCAGGCGATGGCTGCTCGCCCCGCTGCGTGGCGCCGGCTGCGCGCATGGCACATCAGCCCTCCTCTGCAGCCTGCCACCGGCACCAGGCTGCCCCTGGCCGCGCTGCGCGTCCTCCCGGCCCTGCGGTGCTGCGCGGCGGGGTCTGCTCCGCGGGACGCAGTGCCTGCAGGTCACAGTGCCGGGGAGGTGGACCTGCCGTGTGGGAACATGACTGGGAACAGCTCGGGGAACCGTGGCGCGTGGGTCAATGAGCAGTGGTTGCAGGGAGGGATCCTGCGTGCAAATCCTCTTACAGATCTGCCAGATGACCCCTTGTGCATCCCGTGGGAGGCTGCTAAAGGAAAAGCCTGCGGGAAAGGCGCAATGACTTTGTTTTCAGGAGGGTTTGAGTTGTACGCTGTGGATAGACACGAGGCCTTCTGCTGTTAACATCCTGTTTATTTTCCTCTCTCACTTGTGCATAGTGCTAATGTGAGGAAGAGAAGAAAAAGGAACAAGTTGACTTTGCGGAGCTAACTTTGCTCCTGGCGCCTGTGAAGGAGGGGATGCCGGGCTCGGCAAGGTCCCGTGGAGGGGCAGCGCTTCCATTGCAATGTTAACTGGTGGGAACTAACAGTCGGTGCTGGGAGCCATCAGGTTGCTGCGTCTGTTACTCCCAAAGTTCCGATTGCAGTGTACTCGTGGTTTAGCATCCTCCTCCAGGGAGAGGAGGGGCTCTCTGTTCCCACGGGCAGCCAAGGGGTGACTTGGCACGGCGTGGAGTTCGGGATTCTTAAACCTTCTGTAGCCGCTATGTCCACCGTTTGGTACTTGTGATTCTGAGTGTTGAGGGGTTTTTTGGGTCGGCTTTCAGTTTTGTTTTTAGGAGGGGGTGTTGGTTGATTGTTTTGTTTTGGGGTTTTTTGGCTTATCTACAATTTTGGGGGCATTAGGGGACTTGAGTGTGTGTGTGCGTGTAAATACCTTAATAATGCTTTCCTGTAGCTTCTTGATACATTTTTTACCCCTGTAGTTTAAAAATGGAAAATGATCTGGGACAGTCCCATTTCTTGACCCTTGTGAAGTACAGCTTCGTGAGCACAAGTTCCAAAAGTGTCCTGTCTGAGAAATCCTTTTAATGCCTCATCTGCTAGAACTCTGCGTTCCCATATGCATTAAGTGTTGGGAACTTGTTTCTTTTTTTTTTCTCGAGGATTTGGGGACAGCAGGGACAATGTGCTGAGAAATTTATACACAAGTTTTCAAGTGCGGGAAGGGCACTACGCCCACCGGTTGTGACGCCGGTGAGGTGTCCCTCGCTGAATGCAGACCCTGCGCGTGGAGCTGCCGCCGTGCCACTGGGTGAGATGCCAGTTAGTGGCCCTCGGAGTGGTGGCTGTGGTGGTTGGGCTCCCATGGTGAGCTTGCTGGTCCTATCTCTTGGTCTCTGGGGTGGGGAGGTGGGGGATCAGCTAACTGCAGATGAATGGCATTTTGACACAGCAAACAGGTTAAAACTGCATACTCTGGATGTGTTTTTGGAACTACAAGTGCATGGGAATGTTCTTCAGGTGTTTGCTGCCTTGAATGGTCCTGTGGGAGGTGGGGTGGGACGAGCTGGAGATGTGTTGTGCTGGGTGAGGTCTGTGTGGGTTTATCAGCAGAAGTGGAGATGGAATCAGAGGGTGTCTGAGGAGCTTTCCTGGGGGCAGGAACGGTGGTGGTCTGTGCGGCACCTCACCTCCGGCCGTGCTGCCACCAGCCGTGCACCCCTGAAGGTCCTTCTTGAGGAGCTGCTGGTGGGGCCATCTGGCTGAGATGGTGGTGTTCAGTGATGGTCACAGTGCTAACTGGAGCCCAAGCTACCTGCAGAAAAGGTGGTGGTGGCGAGAAGGTGCTGGAACTTACGGAAATGTCTGGCTGGCTGCTGCCGGTCCCGCTGAGGATGGCTGTGGGAAGTCGTTGCATCTTGATATGTCGTTGCTCCACAGCCCTTCACTCACCATTTTCTTCCCCCCACCCCACTCTCCCTTGTGTTTTCCAAAAGCATCAGAGTCGCCCGGCAGAGCCAGCACGGGACCGGTGGTGCTGGCGTTGACGGTGGCAGTGCCGGTCTGTGTCCTCTCGCTGGCAGCGGTACTGGCGGCGTGCACCCACCAGCGCCGGCGCTGCGCCCGCGGCAGGGCCAAGCAGCCCAACGTGGAGGAGCCCCTCTCCGAGTGCAACCTGGTGAACTCCGGGAAGACACTGAAGGATCTCATCTACGACATGACGACCTCTGGCTCCGGCTCTGGTACGTGGGGCTGCCCGGTCCTCTCCTCTGCGCAGCGGCCGGTGCTTTGCTGCCAACTGTTGGAGTGCGTTTCCATGATGCTCAAACCAAAGGCAGACGTGCCACCTCGCTTATAGGGCGATGGAGAACGTCACCTTCCCAGCAGAGGGTGCAGGTGGGGGTCTTACCTCGGGGGCTTTTACACCGGTGGCAAGTTGTATGTCATGGGAGATGTGCCAGCGCGGTGAACGACAGGCTTAGGCACCCCTTACCGCGGCACCAGGGCTTTGGTTGCTCTTTTTCTGTCAGATTACAAAAGTTCGATGCATTGTTCGCGTGGAAGAGTTCAAAAAGTTAATTCAGAACTCTGTTTCAACTGTGAAACAAAACAGTGCTGGCTGATGTGGCACAGCTGATAATAAAAGGAACTAAATTTAACCAGATGAGTCGGGGTGCCACTCCTGAAATCTTCATAGTGGTGCCAAAGGAATATTACTCCAAATTCTAAGGTTGAGCAGAACGCCCACCTTTTTAATGTTTTACCCGTTTCTGGTATCCTGCCTGCTATGATGCCTCCGTCGCTATTGAGAACTCGTTAAATCAAAGAAATACAAAAACGAGGTGGGGATTCAAACACCGCAGCTCATCAGGCTGCGGGCACGGCTGGAGTGTACGGCCCAGCTTTCTGCCACTAAGGACTCTTATTTACCTGAAAAACACGTAAATCAAGCTTGATCTTATTTATTAGTGAAAAATTTCTAAATGGTGTGTAATTCAATTTACTTTATTTTCCATGAACTACATGCCTTTCCGGATCAATTTGTTGTACTTCCCTGATGTTTTTGCAGGCACATAGCGAGTGAACTCTGGCTTTATTTGCCCTGAAGTCTGAGCTGTTGATAGACATCCTCAAGCTGCCACAGGGCTTTCTTGGTGCTGACCCGCAGTGGAGGTGGCAGAGCCTCTCGCGCACGGTGCCGTTTGTCCCGATTGTGGCCAAATAGTGTGTTGGCTCCTCTCTGCCTGGAGGCGAGTCAGGGCTGGCCACGGGCGGCCAGCACCAGCCCCTGGAAAGGCAGCAGCGGCTGCGAGGTGTGAGGGCTCTGCCAAGGGACCCGGAGGGAAAATCTGAATAAATTTGAATAAGATGACCTCCAGTCTATGATTTTTCCCACTGATGATTTTTTGTTGAAAGCACGGTTGTCTTGATTTAAAAAAAAATAATAGTTCTTTAAGTCCCAAACAAATAGAGTATCAAATCAAACGAGGCAGGCGTTTATGGCTAGCAAAACACAACGAAACAGCCATGATAATTTGTTTTTCTTGTTGAAAACTTCAGCCAGGACAGAGCAATTAAGTGACTACGAAACAAGCTATAGTCCATACCAAGCCAAATTAAGTAGTTCAGCCCCCTTTTTTATTGTTTGGGGTTTTTTTTGTTTTGTTTTGTTTTTTTAATTTAATGAGGGTTAGGGAGGTGGATTTTGGGGCAAGAAAGGTATGTGTGCCATAGGGGTCTCCAGGCCCTGCTGGAAGGTATCCCTGTGTGGTGGCGTGCCCGGGGCCGTGGGAGGGGACGGAGGAGCTGGCTCAGGCAGGGCTGGCGGCCGCAGGCAACAGAGCCGGAGCCGGAGGCTGCCGAGGACAGGCAGGTGATGCCCAGCATGGGTCTGGCCCCGGCGTGTGCCGGTGCACAGTCGTTGCGGTCTAGCCTGGCTTTTTACACATCAGCCACAGCTGGTCTTCACTCCGCGTCACGCAGAAGAGCAAAGCTGGGCTGATTTGTGATTGATAGAACGAGGGGTGATGGCTTCAAACTGGAAGAGGGGAAATTTAGATGAGATCTGAGGTAGAAATTCTTGGCTGTGCGGGTGGTGATCCCCTGGGGCAGGTTGCCCCGAGAAGCTGTGGCTGCCCCATCCCTGGAGGTGTTCAAGGCCAGGTTGGACGGGGCTTGGAGCAACCTGGGCTGGGGGGAGGTGTCCCTGCCCAGGGCAGGGGGGGGACCAGAACCTGACCCTCCGGTCTGCACGCAGCTGGTGGGAGGGGGGCTCGCGCCTGACGCGCTGCAGCACCGGGATGGGCAGTTGTGTGATGTACACTCATCTGGCAAGTAACATTAAAAAATAAGATTTGGAGAAGTTTTGGTTGGGAGAGGATTTTCCCATGGGTTCTCTTTGAGAGCAAAGTCACGAGTACAACTCACTGGAAAATCTCTAACTCTGGGGTTTAAAAATCACCGGTGAACTACTTCGTGAATACCCATCTCTTCTTTTTAAACTAGGTTTACCTCTGCTCGTCCAAAGAACACTCG